TTATTGTTATATCAAAATCTTAATTCATCAATAATATAGTTAAATACCAACTATTTTCAAACTAAGTTAACTTTAATGTTATGATACTACAAACTTTGAGTAAAAAACCTTTTTGGTTTTACATGAATTTAGGATCGTTAGATGAGTAAAAATAAATGATTGAGATCCATTCATTATTTTTTTTAATAAATATCTCTTCATTTTCTACTATTAATATCATTCGTCTATTTTAACTCATCAAAAGAACTTTTTGAACTCAAAAAACCATTTAAGAATATTATTAATTGAGAGACAACCGTGAAAGACCATGCTAGCTATCGAAAAATAAAGTATTTCCAAAAGTAATAAAGCAAATAAACCAAAGAAGTTCAAGCTAACTGCATAAATAAATGAGAAAATAAAGAATTAAAAAACTTAAAATCGGCTAGGCACTTCCCCTTCTCTTGATGAGGCAGCGAACGACCATTAGGGAAACACGAAGAGAAATTAGATCCTTAGGAACATGAGCAGACATAGAATGCCCTCCCAGCTACAGTAACTCGAAGCATCCTCTATCCTCTGTCGTTTGAACTATCACATTGTGGGGAGCCTCCGCCACCCAAAACCTATCTTCAGTTCCAGACGACAAATGCTTTGCCAAAATTTAAGCCATGGCGTTCCCAGAGCATAGAATATATTAGTCCCACTACATGCAAGGTAGTTACCAGTCATTTATCATCCCATATCCAAGCCCCAATTTTAAAAATATTTGGTTTGTTCCCTACTAATTTATGGATAATCGATTGGAATCCCCTTCAATAACCACCTAGGAGAAGCCAAGATCCTTGGAGAATTGAAGCGCATGAATGGTAGCGATGGCCTCAGTTGTAAATACAGAGGTATCACATCAAATCTTTTGTCTATCAGCTCCAAAAATGTGACCCTCGTTATTCCTTATCACTACCCTGGACCAAGCTTCCTTATCTTTGTGTGAGAAACTAGCGTCAAAGTTCACCTTCACTTTCGGTGCAACCAGAGGAGTCCATCAAACCTTTTCCAAAGATGGGGGTGGTTGAACATGAGCGTTGACTTTCACATATTCCTTACAATGCAATGGGCTTGGATGAAAGTAGTAAGTTCCCCACACGTTGTGTTTTCGGCTTCATGATAGAATTTTTTTTGGGGCAAACCAAATTACCCAAATAGTAGTCAGGACATCACCCTGCTTGCCGGTAGGATAGTGATCAAATAACCAGCTCAACAATTCCTTCACAGTTCATTGAAAACCATAGACTAACCATTGGATCCTAGATCCCTCCACACTTCACTTGCTGCATAACACTCACGAATCACATGTTCACATGATTCACTTAAAATCGGACACCAAGGACAGTGAGGGTTCCAAGTAACACATTTTTGGTACAGATTCGACATGGTTGGGACGAGGTTGTGTAAAATCTCCAAACTTGATTTTTATTTTCCTCTGACAATCGCTCTCCTAAATTCTTTTATAATAGATTAATGAATAATTCGCTCCATTAGGATTATCTAACAACCTGTAAGCACTCTTAACCGTATACAAGCCTATTTTCTCCTCACTCCACACAATATAATTCTCCATTATAGACGAAGGGAGATGAATTTCTAAAAGCAAATTTGCTTCTCTCTTAGAAAATATACTTTGAATTAACCCTTTATTCCAGACATTCCCATGCTCCACAATCAAGTCAGACACTAGCCCAACTGGCTCCGAGCGAGGGGAAGATACACACACTGGTGGTAGTAATGGTAACCAGAATTTGTTTCAGAAAAAAGATTAAAGAACCTGATCCCACTCTCCATTGAAGTCCCTTTTCCCATAACCCACAAGCACTCCAAATACTACGCCGCACATATGAAGGTTGGGACCCCAGCTTAGTGTGCATGAAATATGTCATAGGATAATATTTTGCTCTAATTATCCTACTCGCAAGCGAAGAAATGGAAGTGATCAAGCGCTATCCTTGCTTTGCCAATGAAGACGCATTGAACTTGGCCATGTCACGAAACCTCAAACCTTTTTTACTCTTTCAACTCGCACAGATTTTTCCATGAGCACCAGTGTATCCCATGTTTGTTTTCTGATTTTATCTATCAAAACCAAGCCATTAGACCTTCCAGCTCATATCAAAGATTTTTAGGGTGTGTTTGGTTCACGGAATGTAAGATTACCAGTGGGAATAAAAGATTACCGGAGAATAGGATTACTGGGAATGTTGTATTTTGTGTTTGGTTGGTTTAGCAGGAATGTAAGATTACCGTGCTTGGTTAAAGGAATAAAAGATTATTGGAATGTATATTTGACCAAATTGTCCTTATTAATATATTTGTATAATATTACAAATTGCAAAATATTTATATATTTTCTTTAAAAAATTAAATTCATAATATTTATATAATTTTTTTTACAAAATTAAAAATATAAAAAAGGTTTAATGAAAGGGTAAAAAACAATTTAACCCCTGAACTTCATATAAAATTTTAATTATAGACTTTTTTGTAAATCTAAAATAATTTAAGGATAAATTTGTAATTTAACCTTCGTAGAATTTTTATTATTCAATGACAGAAGAATGATATTTTTGAAAAAAAATAAAAAATTAAGGGCATTTTAGTCCAAAATGCCGGTAATGTTACAATACCTAACGGAAGGGAGGTAATGACATTCCAGGTAATATACCCCAAAAAATATACAATTGGTAATAAAACATTATCGGGAATGAGATTCCCGGCCAACCAAACATGGGAATGTGGGATTCTCATCCCACGGGAATCACACAATCCTTGAACCAAACACGCGCCCTAGGGAGTAAAAAACAATTCATTGCATAAATGAGTAGTGCCTAAAGCACAAACTTGATAAAGACCTCCTTACCCCTTGTGTGAGGAAATGAATGCTCAATACATTAATACGAGTCAACATCCACTCCTTAAAATGAACAAACGCTCATATTTTATTCCTTTCAACAAATGCCGATAAACCCCAAATATTTCTCAGGGTTCGAAGAGCTTCCAACCTCTAGAATTCACTTTACATCAGCTCTATGTTCTTCAATAAAATTTTACCTGAAAGAAACTCTTGACTTTTAAAAGTTTATAAGTTGACCTGAGCTCTCCCCACACAGCCGTAGGATAGCTTTAATTTCACTTGCCACTCCCGCATTGGCCTCTCTAAAAATCAGGGAATCGTTCGCAAATAAGAGATAAGTGATCGAAGGCCTATACATGTTAATTTTGATGCCTTTCAACCTATTAAATCTTGCTAATTGTCGAATGAGCGAGGATAACCTCTCGCTAAAAATCAGAAAAAGATACGGACTAAAGGGATCACCTTGACGGAGGCCTTGTTGTGGATAAAACATATCTCCAGCCACACCATTTGTCACTATAACGTGCGAGGGTGAGCAAACATATCTTTGAAGAAGCTTATCCATCCTTTTGCAAACCTCATTTGAGCCATAACTTCCTAAATTAACGGCCACTTCACCCTGTCATAACCTTTACTCATGTCTAATTTTAGAGCAAAGAACCCAAAAAAAAAACCAATAAGCTTATTAACAAAGGAGTGAAGGATCTCATATCCGATATGATGTTGTATGTAATTAATTTATCTGGCATAAATGAACTTTTTGCTTCATCAATACATAAATATAGCAACCCTTGCGTCCTTGCTACCAATATTTTCGACAATTTTTTGAATAGCACGTTACAAAGACTAACTCGTTAATATTGAGTGAGATTAAAAGGAGACTGTAGCTTGGGTATTAACACAATGTGAGTAAGATTGACCGAGGCCATATCAAAGCGTCTTTAGAGCAAATCAATACAGAATGCAGCAATCTCGTTACCAAAGATGTACCAAAACATTTGGGGGGAAAAAGCACCCAATCCATCTAGCCTAAAAGTTCCAAGGAAACAAATAAATTTTACAGCCATTATCTCATTAGTGTAGTCATTCGTTTTTGTCCGGACAAAAAATATTACACTATTATTATTATTATTTGTTGGGTTGGTAATATGATCGATTATCTACTTGGAATCCCATGAAATCCGCTGTACTTGACCCCATTATCTGACATTTGAGAGAAATGGCTTTGTGGGTCCTTAAAAAGTGGATTTTAGGTACATTTGTAGGGCTGCCACTTTCTTGATAAGGATCACGGTGCCAATAAGGCTCGGGAGGAGGCAGAGGAAAGCTGGGAGGAATTACAGGAACTGTTTGAAGAGATGTTCCGAGTGGAAATTGATTCGTTAGGGTCGAATTGTCAGCAGACTACGCCCTGTCCTTCTTCATCTCGGTCTGCATCTTTTGGTGAAAGTTCTGGCTCCAACAAGCGGAATTCTGCTGATATGAGTTCAGGAGGAACGGATGAAAAAACAGAGTGGTGGAGGCAGTGCAGGAAGCTCATAAACTCGATGTTAACGCCTTGTTTCGCTATGCCCAAACTCATGTTCCTGGGTTTCCACTCTCCCCTTCAAAATTCAATCTCACTCAGTTCGGACATGGACAGTCGAATCCCACGTATTTAATGGAAGTTGGAACCCACCGAATCTAGGGAAGTGACAGGTAGCTAAAACCTTCAGGTCTTTTCTGTTTGTTTCTCGGGATTCTTGTTGTTTCCTTTCCCCCCTCCTTTGTATTCTCTATTTCTGGCTCATTTTTTCTACATTTCATCGACTTACCTTTCCCTTAGGTTTCTTTCGTCTAAAGCGGTGAGCATTGTTCTACCTGTTCCTCCATTTTTCTTGTTCTTACTTTTTAAAATTTTTGTTTATAGCTACTGTTTTGATGCTGATATTTTGTTGGTCGGATGGATTATTTTAGTGCGACATGAAGTTGTAAACCATAACGATTTTTTCTTGAAAATTATTTTTCATTTTGATCAATTTCCTTTTACTTTATACTCGGCTCGTTAGCGGTGCACTTAGTTCTTTGCTTGATGAATCAAGCTGATTGAGGAGCTCGTATAAGGTTAACATGGAACGACTTTCAATGTGGCTGTGCCGTCGTTGATCATCTCCTCCCTTTTATTTTCCGTCGTAACGGCCTCTAGTGATGGGTTGGTTAGAACTGGGCTGAAAAAGCTGAAATTCGATCCGAACAACCGGCTTGAATCCAAGGATCGAGAGGCTTTCATAGCATCTATGAAAAAGCATCGCTTCCGTAACTATCTTGGAGACTCGGAGGATGTGGATATTGTTGCCTTGAAGAACTACATGGATGCTCAGTACTATGGTGAGATTGGTGTAGGAACTCCACAAAAATTCACTGTTATATTTGATACTGGCTGTTCAAATTTGTGGGTGCCATCATCTAAGTGCTATTTCTCGATTTCTTGTTATCTTCATTCCAAGTACAAGGCAAGTGAGTCAAAAACATATAAGAAGAATGAGAAATCTGCTGCTATTTCTGGTTTCTTTAGTTATGACGATGTTCAAATTGGTGACTTGGTTGTAAAATATCAAGAATTTATTGAGGCTACTAAGGAGCCAGGTCTTACGCTTTTGGTGGCCAAATTTGATGGGATATTAGGACTTGGGTTTAAGGAGATATCTGTTGGGAAAGCTGTCCCAATATGGTACAACATGATCAAGCAAGGTCTTATCAAGGACCCTTTATTTTCATTTTGGCTTAACCGCAATGTTGAGGAATACACCCATTTTTGTTTGGGTTTAAAAAATATTATTTCACCTTATTTTTATTATTATTATTATTATTATTATTTTATCTTAATTTTGTTTTTTATTCTTATTTCTTAATTTAACCTTTTAAAATTATTTCTTTTTGTTTAGCATTTATTTATTTTTATTTTACGATCTAATATTTTATTTTTTTGACCCTTTTTAAAAGAATTCAATCAATCAAAGGTAAGTAATTCGAATGGAGTCTTTAAATTTTAATTTTAATTTTCTCAATTAAGACAACCGGAAAATTAAAACGGTACCGAAAAGGTAATTCAAGGGTGCTAATCCTTGCTTGACTGTAACCGACTCTCGAATCCAACATACTTCTGTTAAAAACGCAGATCAGGTAAGATAGTATCCGATCAACCTAAATATTTTTTTAAATGATCGATGGCGACTCTAATGCGTTCTATTTAAGTTGAAACTAAATTCCGTACCCATCCTAAAAACTGCGACAATTAGCAAATGTGAATTCCTTCAATAAACTATCATTCATTTCGAGCGAGATATAAGGGACCACAACCTCTAGGATGCAACTGTCTACTCACTCCCAAACGAGGCAAATAAGTTTTGGAAATAACCACTAGCTTCCTCCTCAATCATCCCCTTATATTCCAATCATGCACCATCATCACGGTTAAGAAATCGAATACGGTTCTTACGTTTTCGCTGAGTGGCGTAATTGTGAAAAAATTCTTATTATTATCCCATTTTTAATCCAATTCACTCTCACCCCCGGCTCCTAGTAAAGTTCTGACATGTCAATTTTGAGATTGAGTTGTAATTTAATGTCTAATTTTTCCTAGCAAATTCGATGCCGAGGAAGAATCTTCTAACTCCACCAACTTCTTTTTAAGGTCTTTCTTCGAAATGTGTTTCTCCCTCCAAACTCTATTGAACCATTTGTTAAGGCCCAAGCGAACACAATGCAGCCTATCCAAAATCGTTCCTGAAGATGACTCTCATAAACAACGCATCTCCAGTTCACACGACTCTTTCAACAGCCAAGAGGATTCAAATTTAAAGTGTCACTTCCTCTCACTATCCACCATGTGATCAGTATTCAACAGTAATGAGCAATGGTTAGAAATAGAATGAACCAGATGATACAAGGAAAAATGGGGGAATTTCTCTAGCCACAAGGAATTAGCCACACCCTTATCCAACCTGTTTCGAATATTGGTCTCCGCCTATCTTCCCTGTTCCCACATGAATCGACAACCAAAGTATCCAATGTCCTCAAGGCCACAATCAAAGTGAGTATTACGGAAATCTTCTATTTTTCGTACGTTACATAGAAGCCCCCTCGTTTTTATAAGAAAATAAAATCTCATTGAAATCACTGACAACCATCCAAGGAATGTCTAGTCGATCATCCAAATGACGTAATAGAGCCCATTTTTTGCATCTCTGAATCTCCTTAGGAGCTTCATAGAATTTTTTTACAATGCCACAACAATCCATCTTCAGCAACTTTAATCAAAACATCAATGTGTATTGTCGAAAGCGACCTTAGGTCATATCTAACCTCCTTGCCAAGCCAAACATAAACCTCCGCTACTCTCATATGAATCAACATATAAACTATTTGGAAATCCACACCATCTACGAATTATCTCCATTTCTGTTGTTTTGTTTCAATCAAGAAAACTATAGTTGGGTTAATGTCCATTGGCAGATGCCGAAAGCGTCTAACTGGACGAGGTTGACCCAAACCCCGGACGTTTCAACTCATGAGCTTCATTGAGATCAACTGGACTAGTTCTGCAAGCCTGCCACTGATACGTTTTGCTCCCTATTAGACACTATCTCCTCTAAACACTCGTTAGACTTCGAGGAATACCTCTAACGTTTAGCACCATTGACTCTCACTAATGGATTCTCCTCCTCAACTGCTACCATTATCACATCCAACGAAGAATGTTGAACCAACTGTCGATTTTTATCCAAAATAGTCAATGGATGATTACTCTCACACCTTTGACCCAATGCATCTATGCGCACACCAGGGACCCTATTCTCATCAAGAACACCTCTCCACTCCTAATTATTTCCTAAGGAGCTCCTCCCATCACCCTCTTCCTCCCTCAACCATGGACTTTACAATGATCCTCGTTGCCGTATATGCCAAGCAAGGAGAAAGCGTACTCTTTCTTGTCCTGTAAAATAAGAAGTGGGCAAAAACCCTTTCCATGTCCCAACTTCCCACATATAAAACAAAAAAGTCTCAGTTTTTCGTACTAAAAAGATGCATAGACCAGTTTCCCATTCGAGAACGTTTGTTTCTTCCTTTTCTTCAATTGATTACTCACATCAACTTGAACACAAGTCCTGATACACCCCCATAACCTAATGAGATTGCTGAAGCATCATACTCCAAAGACTTAACTACAAAATTTCCTAATAGTTTTGCAACTAATTTGGAAATAAACCCTGTAGGCATATCAATAACACGCACCCAAAAGTCCATCGTATTTAGTGGAACTAGTAAAGGGTCGTCCCCCTCAGACAACCAGTAAAAAACTAACAAATGAGAGTTGAAGTACCACGGCCCATCCCTGACAATTTTGTCAATGTCAACAGTATGATATAATTGAAATAGATATCTCCCTCCTCAAGAACAGATATAGATATGCCATCAATAGGGTGTCATACATTAGCTAGAGTAGTGTGAATCGCCTAAAATTTATCATGCTAGACGTGACGAAATACCTCATAAGCCAATTCTTGAAAGAGATAGACGACCCAGTGGCCCCCAATTCTAACTTCAAAATCTCTTCCTCCTTTTCTTCCCCCAATTGAAGTTCGTCCAAACGTTGCTCTAGATCACCCATGTTGATTCAGAAGAATTGGAACGCACGAAAACCCATATGAAAAACGATAGCCACAATAGAAATAAAAAGCGAAGAACGATAAAATCCTGGAAAAAACCTGCCAAAGACGGAGAGAAAAGGGTAAAACCCTAGTAAAATTAATACTCCAATAACTCATCTGTCGGAACGGTCCTTAACCTTTTTGACGAGTTGGAATGGGATCGAAAAGCAAGAGTTTAGAAAACATATTTCAAGTCGCCATATAACCTTTTTTTAAAAATTTTAAATCTAAACCCTAAAAAAATTAAAACTCTCTCCTCTCTCTCCTCTCTTCTCCATATAACCGGTCACCTCCCCAAGAACCCGAAGCTCCGCTGTCGTTCGTCGGCCACCGCTGACAATGACCGGATATTCCCAAGCTAGCCCAAAACGCCCCTAACTTTCCGATCTACAACCTAAAACCCGAACCCGAGACTAAATCAACCAAACTAAGTCCCTAAACCCCCTAGAACCAAAACCGACTCTTGGGGTCACATATAATGGGTGTAAGGTTAAATGGGTTTACATTGTATTGGACTTGTAAATTTGGACATTTGTAGGATTTAATTTTTTTTGTGGTTGGTATTTGGTTTTAAAATTAACTAGGATCTCAATTTTCCAAAATGAACATATTTGATCTTCAAACCCTCTTAAATGAATGCTCGCAACTTATCAAATCCCCGGACTTATTTATCATCCATGCAATAAGGCCACTTGAACAATATTGATCGCCTCGAAATTCATTTTCAAATACCCGAACAATATTAGGGTATTACATCTCAGTAACAATCTTAAATCTATGTGAAATTAAAAAATATATATTGTGTATTTGGATCTTATCATTTTATTTATTCTGAAAATTAATATATTAATTTGTTATTTCACTTTAATCCAATGATTTTAAGACAATAATCCATGTTAGAAAAGCAGTAGAATCCCAAGAAATCAGGGACAAGTCAATATAATCGGCCTTTTTCTTTTACCACGTTTAGTTGACTTAGGATGCCAAATTTCTAAGATCAACCCAGTAATTAGTACCTAATTCATATTATACAAATTATCTAAGCAACAATGTCAACTCACATTTGAAGATGCCGATGATTCTAAATTTGATATATTCAGATTTTAATATTTGGTGCGATGAGCGTGAATAATGTCTTGCTCAAAAAATAAACCATGGTGCCTGAAGACAAATATACAATCTCATTAATAAAGAACTAGTTAAGAGAGATTATATTATATAAAATATCATAGTGTGAATAATCATTTGAGACTAAGGAGGACCCTAACCATGAGGTTGAGATCCCATTGTCATGTAAGTAATTAGAGAGGTCAAACATCCATTGTATATATATGATCCTCATTACTATATAAAATACCCAATAGATTTGGTGGTGGTGTAAAAAAATCTTAATATAATTCCTAACATCTAAGGATCAATATTGAAAAGACAAATTATGTATGTTCAAACTTCAGTAGAAACCAAAACGATGAAGATGTAGAAGTATGCATAGAAGGACACATTATCCCCTCAAATGATTGTTTCAAGTACCTAGGGTCTATGATACATAAAGATGGGGGTGTAGATGAAGACGTTACACACCGTATAAAGGGAAGATGGCTAAAGTGGAGGGCTGCTACTGGAGTTTTGTGTGACAAGAAGGTGCCTCAAAAACTAAAGGGAAAATTTTATAGAATGGCAATAAGACCAGCGCTGCTGTATGGATCAGAATGTTGGGCAATCAAGAAGGATCACGTAAGGAGGATGGAGGCCGCAGAAATGAGAATGCTTCGATGGACATGTGGTAGGACTCTGTGGGACATGACACCTAACTCTGCTATTAGGATGTACTTGGGGGTGGTGCCTGTATCCGAAAAATTGAGGGAGGGAAGACTACGGTGGTTTGGGCATGTCCTTAGGCGACAACCGTCGGATGCGGTCAGGAGGGTAGAGTCGATTACAGTCGACGGTGTCAGAAGGAGAGGACGACCAAGACGGAAGTGGGAAGACTGCTTGAGATCTGATTTGAAGGAATTAGCCCTTACCGAGGACATGACCTCCGATAGGAAAGTATGGAGACTTAAAACTAGGGTAGTTGAGTAGTGTGGTTCACAGCCATAGGGTGTAACATCT